TTTTGAAGCAGTGTGTGCAAACCCTATGGACATATTTTATATAACAGTAGAGATCCAGGATATTAATGATAATGCACCACATTTCTTAAATGGTGATATCAAGCTAGAGATAAGTGAATCCACTTTACCAGGAGCCACATTTCTTCTTGGACAAGCAGAAGATCCTGATATTGGGACAAATTCGCTTCAGGATTATCATCTAAGCATTAATCAGTACTTCATTTTAGCAATTAGCAATCAAGATACTGTAAAGAAGTATGCAGAATTAATACTGGAGAAACAGTTGGATCGTGAAAGTGAAAGTACTATTAGTTTAACTCTTATGGCTCTTGATGGAGGAAACCCTCCAAGAACTGGAACAGCCAAAATACGGATCAGGGTCATGGATGCTAATGACAACCCCCCTGTCTTCAGTCAAAAAGTGTACAAAATCAGTCTCAAAGAGAGTGTATCAAAGGGATCTACCGTAATACAAGTGAAAGCTGTGGACAGAGATGATGGTTCCAATGGCCAGATCAACTATAGCTTTAGCAATATTGCTGATAATGTTTATCAGAAATTTGACTTAGATCCATATGATGGAATTATAATAGTAAAGGAAGAGCTAGACTTTGAGGAAACAGACAAATATGCTATGGTGGTAGAAGCAAGAGATGGAGGTGGTTTAGTAGCTCATTGTAATGTTGAAATAAATCTGGTAGATGCAAATGACAATACCCCAGAAGTGATTATTGCCTCCTCATCCAGAGAAATTCCTGAAAATTCTGAATTAGGAACATTGGTAGCCCTTATCAATATAAATGATAAAGATTCGGGGGATAATGGGGAGGTTAACTGCCAGTTACAAAACACTTCCCCATTCAAAATAGTATCAGCCTCTAATAACTATTATAAGCTGCTTACAGATGGTCCCCTAGACAGAGAAAGCATACCAGCATACAATCTTACAAACACAGCCACAGACAAAGGTTCACCCCCTCTTTCTACACTGAAAACCATCTCACTAGAGATTTCAGATATCAACGATAATGCCCCTGCCTTTGAGAAATCCTCTTACACTGTTTATGTGCCAGAGAACAATCCTGCTAGCTCCTCCATCTTTAGCATCAAAGCTGTAGATCCCGATCTTGGCCACAATGCTAGGATCACGTACTCCATCCTCACTAGCAAAATAGAGGAACTACCTCTCCCGTCTTACCTCTCCGTTAACTCAGAAACGGGCACACTCTATTCTCAGCGGTCTTTTGACTATGAGCAACTCAGAGAGTTTCAGGTACAGGTGAAGGCTGAAGATGGAGGCTCCCCACCTCTCAGCAGCAATGCCACACTGAAGGTCTTCATCCTGGACCAAAATGACCAAAGTCCTCAAATTCTGTATCCTTCTCAAGGAGCAGAGGGCTCAGCCTCCTTTGAGATGGTGCCTCGCTCAGCAGAGGTGGGCTATCTGGTTACGAAAGTGGTGGCTGTGGACGCCGACTCTGGGCACAATGCGTGGCTCTCCTATCATCTACTGCAAGCCACTGAGCCAGGGCTCTTCACAATTGCTGCCCACACTGGTGAAATCAGGACATTGCGGACGTTTTTGGAAAGAGATGCTCTGAAGCAGAAGCTAGTGGTCTTAGTAAAGGATAACGGGCAGCCCCCACTCTCTGCTACAGTCAGTCTCAATCTGGTTTTTGCTGAAAACTTCCAAGAGGCACTTCCAGAAATAAGTAACCAAACCACTGATTCAG